CGCCTTCGATTCCCATGACCTGCAATCAAGATTAGAACGTGAGCCTCTCATTTTGCTCATGTCCTGGTTACGAAGCCTCGATTTCCCCACATGTTGCTTCCCCAAACTCAGCTGACCACATAATAGCTGCTTCGGTATCCGCGTGGAATCCATACGCCCCACATGACCGAGCCACCTCAGGTGTCTCAACAAAAGTTTACAGTCCACTGCATACATTCAACTTCTGCGCAACACCTTCGTGTCTGCAGCTCCGTCGCACCAACCGATGCGCAGAATCCGTCGCAAACACTGTTGAAGGAACCACTCGAGATATAGCACATCCCGCCGGTACTTATTCAACCTTTCACTGCCGTATAGAATAAATCGGCCGGTGGCCGAGTGGTCGGCACGTTTGCTTTGCAACCATAAGGTCACCGGTTCGAATCCGCGTAGGGGTGGGCGTCCTCGCAGTATACTCAGCCCGCGCGCGACTGGTGGTGGTTGCGCGGCAGCGAAACGCCGTTACGGCGTACAGTATAGAAAAAAATGGATTTGTACACTATCAGCTTCGTGCAAATAGGAAGCTGATGGTTGTTCCACACTCCGTACTCTAGCTTCCCGAATGCCGCCGTTGCGTTCGATACGCGGGTGCAAAGCTCACTGTGTAACTGCTGGTCAGTCGACATCACACTCCCAAGGTAGCAGAAGCGAGAGGTGGTTTCCAATACTTCAGCACCAATGCTGATTTGCGGCAATATTGAACATTACACCTCCGGTGAAGGCTGAAAGCGACAGACAGTTTTGCTTCTGTTGATAATGAGCCCGACTTTGGCCGCTGTCAACGCACAGTCGTCAGCAAACAGGGACGTACGGATAGTTGTTTCGCAGACTAGAGTTCTCGCACCGAAACGACGGATGTTCAGCAACCCACCATCAATACGGTGCTCCACACGAACACCGTAAGCACAAGCGGCATCAAAAGCACAAGACATCATTGCGTGGAATTAACTAATAAACAGGACAGGAGCTAAGAAACAGCCTTGCTTCACACCAGAGACAACTTCAAACTCATCCGAGGTCTCTCCACTCAACTACATCCTCGCTCGCATACCACTGTGCAGACATACAAATTGTCGCTACCCTTCACTATCTCCTGCGGTGTAAGACAAGGATGCTGGTTGTCAACTTTCCTCTTTAACTTCGCTATTGACGAAGTCATGGAGATTGAGTTCACAGGACACGACTGAGAAGGTGTGTAGATGCTCCCAGGAGAACGACTTCCTGACTTGGAGCACGCTGACAATATTTCCCTCAACTGTGACAGCTCACAAACGTGCCAAGCGGCACTGGCCAGGTTAGCACTGGCTGTCAGCCGTTTCGGACTTTGCATTACAGCTTCAAAGTGTAAAGCCTTCCCTCAAGATTGACATGGACCGCCTGCTGCACTGACCCTTGGTGGGGATCAGCTGCAAGTCGTGCAAGAATTCAACTACCTAGGTAGTTGTATCAGCGCCGTTAGGACTGAAAACAAGGTCACGAAAGCTCGAGGCGCTTTTGTCAATCTCCGCCACCTGTAGCGTCAGTGCGAGATCTCTTTACCTGAACGGTAGAGTGTACAATGCAACCGCATGTTAGAGCCTACTGTACGGTTATTAAACCTGATCCATTAGATCGACAGACATAAAGAGGCGGGTCACGTTCGCAGTTTGGCTCATATCTGATGGAAACACAGTGTGAACAATTCGCGTGTTGCGTGCCTCGTTTATGCAAGTTGACCGCTCCTCATTGTTATTTCACGAACCACGGTCCAATGACTGGGCCACGTGTTGCGCATGTTAGTCCACCGGCCTCCGCGATGTGTTGTTTGCTCCCCAAGGGTGTTAGTGGAAGAAGTGGAGGAGTGGCCAAGTGATGATTTGGTCAAGAGAAATGAAGACCATGACCTCGAAGTTGGCATCGATTAGACCCCTTCGGTTCGCTGGTTGGGACCCGAAAGACGAACACTTTTGACCGGATACCCTTTATTGACATGGATAGGAGCCGACCTCAATGACATTTGCATTGTGAGCTTCTTTGTCCCTTTCCCTCCTGCTTAGCCTCCGCTTCAAACAATATCCTGCTGTTAACCCTCCGGAACGATGTCCATCCGTTACTGGTGACAGCCGGCGTGCCTCTGTTTCATTTTTCTCTTCTTTTATATTGCAACACAATAGATGAGGTATTTTCCGCCTGCAACTAACCTGTATAATGAGGACGAATGATTATTTCCGCGTAAGTGAGGGACGACCTCCCAGTATCACTAACCCGCGCTCAACTGTTGGTGGTCGCATGATGGCGAAGCTTCAGTGCTACATACTGCTGACGCTCCCTACCGTACGACGAGTGTAGGAGTGACGACTCACTGGATGCCATAAAATTGCTAGACTGCATCTTATTCAATGACCAACCCGAGACAAACTATAAAGTCAGATCATATTGTGCATTTGCCGGGCTGGTTGCATTGTACCCATCTTTTGCACTTTCTGGGGCCTATACAAAATTCAGTTGTTCAATGTATGAAAAAGAAGCACTTTTATTCAGCTTTCATACATGTTTTGCTTGGAATAACTGCTTTTTTGAGATTTAACAGCCTGCTGCTTCCTATGACTACGTTGTTCACACAATCAATTTGATTTGTTCTCTAGGTTACTCATTAATTCAGCATCATCGAAATTTTAAGTGTTTATCCAAAATCTTTGTCTCATTCGTGCGTGCTACCAAAAATATCTCTCCTTCACTGGCTAGTTTATGATTCGATCTTACCGGAATGACTGATGTGGCGGGGCCTCCAAATCGGCCGTCGCCTTTTCAATGGAACGTTGCTCTTAATGTATCTGCTTCGGATTTCTCAGTTTTCGTTAAGTATTTTTGACAATTTTTTCGATTAGACAAATTACCGAGTCATCATTGGTGTCCTCCGGCAATTTGTTTTTAAAAGACACTTTGAGATACTACGCGTACTGCTCGAATTTATCAGAAGACTTTCTGTGCATTGATGAATCTTCGTCTGGATCGCTGTACCGGGATTCGACATGGTAAACATGATTCACGGTACCGTAAACATGATGCAGATTCGGGACCGTTTATTCGAGTGACTCAATCCTAATGCCGCTCTTCTCTGGTAAACTTTTGTGTTTTTACTGGGGTCGTTTTGGAACATCTGCGGTAGCTATTGTTAAACGCTGAAAATGCACGCACTCGGGTACATAGATCGTATAACAACTTGGACTTGACTTGATTTCTCTTCCTTACCGATTAGCGACTCACAGTTTCAAATAACTCATTTTCTTGCATTTTAAGAGTCCCACTCCTTTGCACTAAATGGATTGTTCCATTTTCCGCTTCTATATCCCGAGAGCACCCTTTCTTTGTCCAGTCTGAAATCCAACGCTGTTGTAGTTTGTTTCTGGTTCACATCCGGCCCGAGTTGAATTTCAACGATTAAAACTTGACAGATGCACCCCCCCTCCCCCATTGTGCAATGAACAGCACCTAGGTTTTTCATTCATGGACGATATGGGTGCACTGATTCTTGCCGGATTTTCTTACATTGATTTTTACAATTTCCAAATCAGCAGTGGTCTAGTGTTTGGCCTAGCATAATAACCAATTCACAATCCTTTTACCATGCCCACCTCTCTAGTAGTCGTATAAAATGGTTTCTTGCAGTACTTTAGGTCTTCAAATGGTGTTCACCATGAACACTGTCTCTTGCTATTGAGTCACCTGTGTCCACCAGCATCGTTTCGCCCGCACGAGGGAAAGACGCATATTGGTAGTTCACACGGTTGTTGCTACCACAATTAATGACTCAAAGCCTATCCTTTCTCCTAGCCTGTATATATGAACCACGGCGCCTAGTTACCTACACTTTCTCACGCAACGATGGGCTGACCACTCGTACTTGCCCCACTGACAACTGTCCTAATTTTGTTCGCGTCTCCTTCCTGTGTCCGATGACGCAACTTCTACTCTGTAGTCCGCTAGCTCTCAGCTATCACATAACATTTGTGTTTCCCTACTTCATATCAACCGTGTAAATGGTCTGCCTCGTTGCAACTCCCCACAATTCATCACATCACCAAGAGGAATGTTTTGTCTGTACCGCTGGTAAAGCGCAATAAAGCATTTTCTAAACCGCCTCTTCGTGGTTATTTCACTTATGTTCACAGTCCCACAGACTGGATACTACCATTACCACGTTCTGTTCCCTTCACCGATCTCATCAGCCGTGCGTCATGACAACTCCGATTCCTCATGTGTCCCCCCACCACATCCCACCGTTGGCATAAGCACTTTGTTGTTCTAGCCTTCTGTCCACTAAGAAACGATTAATAGCCATTTTAAACACTGCGCGTTCCAGGTACTTGTTCCTGCATGATTGTTGCTGTCTTCATTTACGCGCACCCAATATCGCTGTCTATCAGTGAGGTAATGTGATAGATAACTCAGCTTTTGTTGTTTCGTGAATCCATCTGCACCTTTTACACTTGTAATACCTCCCCTTTAGCTAAAATCGGTTTAATTACGTCAACACAACTGTGTTTCCTCCCTGGCTTCCTCGCTACTCTAGCACAGAATTTCATTTCATACTGACCGACTTTATTACTCCGATACTGACACTTTATGATACCGTACACTTGCTTCCAATGGCTTTGTTACTTACACACACGCCAAATTATGATTCCTAGATGTGCACGATGTCAGTATTTTCATTCGTTCCCGGTTAGAATCACCATGCCGGGAGTAGCATTGGCTCCGGGATATTCCCCCCATCCCACTGGCACACCATAACCCCCTCGCGGTTACGTCATTCTGGTCTGACTTTAAATAGCATTTTCTATGAATCTATTATGTGGTTTATTTCGCACTACGTTTCGCCAACCATTCACAGTGAGTTTACCATTATTCTTTCTCCACTCTCCCCCGGTGCGATTTAACACGCCCTTCTCGCATATTGTTACTTTCCCTGTTTGGAACAGAATTTATTCACCGCTTTTTCATTTGTGGTGGCTCATCTGGTTGGCCAAAGTATCGCAAACTGGACCTCCTTGCATCGCTGTCGCCTGTTCCTCACAACTGGGGCAGCTCAAGCCAAACTACATCGATTATCACTCGTTGAAAGTGAACTGGTAAGTCCTTTGCGTTTTACCACAAACATGTTATTCTTAACCATTGCGCCAAGCGTTGTTCGGGGGGTTAGATGTATAAGTAGCTACCCATAATCGCCACTTCCCATCTTTTCTTGCGTCGGGATGTTTCCTACCGGATTTGTCTAAATATGGACGAAACCAGTTTTTAAAGTGAGCAACACGACATTTCTGTACTTTGCTAATCCAAGTAGCCGAACTGATGGAGGTTCACTACAAAGGGAATCGCGACCTAACTTTCGGCTACGTCCATATCAATAATGTGTCCGTCCCACCCTTCAGATCGGAGTCCTCATGACCAACTCCGCGCTTCGGTCAAAAGTTTATGGAGCATGGCTCGCTGCTGGCCCCATTGACGCTGTTGCTGTAGTCTCTTAGCCGGACTGCCTGTTTGAATTACATCTGATACTGATTTACTTGTGGGGTATCGACTGATTATGACGCAGAACAGTGAAATCCACGATGGTGCTATCTTTCTCACGCTGTCTTGTCCTCCCTCTATGGTTCTCTGTATGTGGCTGTAGGTTGTTGCCCATGCGTGTTTGTTTAGGGAATCTAAGCTTTACACTACGTCTTCCTACATTTCCTCTTATTATTCCTCATTTCCTTGGTCATTGTGCTTGTACAGCAGCGAAGCAACAGTTTAAATTCCATGCTGTACTGCTGTTGTTGGCGTCACAGACATTGGCCACCGCGACTCGGCGGTGTGGTTGTGGTGATGGTGGTAAATGTCGTTGTAGATAGTCCGTACTTTGAATTCGATTCGCTGCTCCGGGTCTTCTTATCTTGTCTACCTGAGCATTGGCAAGGCCAATCGTGGAAATCACCTTTAGGTGCGAGTAACGGGTCACAATTCTCTCCTCCTTGCATCCGGTCCCAGCGATCTCTATAGCCGCGCCTCTCTTCCGAGTAAGTCTCCGTCTGAATTGTGACATTGTCGCTCTCTACATGCACACACACATACCCCCAGATGGTACTTGCAAATAACCATTCTATATCAGACAACAATCTGGTCGTTCGTACATGTCCTCTCGGCTTGATCACACATTCTATCCCCGAACCAGCACAACTAATCTTAATTACTACTAACAAAAACACCATGGACCCGCGTCTTGTTTTGCCATTCAACTATGTAGCTCTCCTGTTAGGCACCCAAACAATATTGTCTCATCCAATTGACCAGCGTACTTTCCGCCAAATCTAAAGTGGTTTCCAATCATTTATGATCTCCACATACAGCGGTCCACATGTGGACTAGAGAACCCAATCGATGGTTAGGAACGTTTCAGCTCAGCTACTTGATCCACTGGATCGCCACAGTCGGTTGGTTTGCCGTAACATTTCATACAATCATTTCCCTTTGTGAACTTTAAAAGTACCAAAAGCAAACATTTCAGCTGGCTGTATACCCTGAGTTCAGTGTATTTCGCGTACTCTCATTCAGCCGCATACATACTAACAGTGAAAACTTTAAACTCGCTGAAGTGAAAGGGAATGAATACCAAGAGTCCATAATCGGCTGTGGCTGTGTCTCGACAGGAGTGATCCCATCTCACCACGGCGGAGGAAGACTGGCCACAAGTTCCAGTTGCTTGCATAGACTAGGCTCTAGGCGCTGGATGGCGACAGTCTCAGTGGAACTTAGCAGGTTAGGATTACTTTGCCTGCTAAGAAATTTGAATGCTTCTCCGGGGCTTTGGCACATTGTACAGTCGGACAGGTGCGGAGCAATTGAGCTAGCAGGTATTTTCCCATCAGTCAAAGCTAGGTTTCGCGGGATGTGCTCCGAAATCCGGGTTGACCTCGTGGTCTCAGTCCGACCGATGTACATGCTACCACATGTGCAATTAAACTAATAGACGCAGGAGGCGGTAACTTGAGAGTGAGGCCTGTCTAGGTTGGATTCGGGCAGCACCTTTCTGGTTTGGTGCAACAGCACGGGCTCAGCTTCAGGGTAGCACCTCTTTATGGACTGCTGTAAGCGATGGCAGAACCTTCTATCATTCTGTTACCCCTTATACTGTAATGTGGTGAAGACCTTCATATGAACCTCAACCGGTTTTTCTTTTCTCGCTGTTTCTGTCCCATACTTCGCATACTACTTTGCTGAAAACACTATGAGAACCGACAGTACTGAATGGTTTGGAATGTGCATATTATGCTCCACTCAGTTCCCTACCAGCTGTCTTTTACTCCCAACTGAAAGACGAAATACCCTATAAAGGTACTTATACCACACCCTAATTCCTCGTCCGCAATCCGATTTGGTGTTTTGGAACCTACTCTCAGGACACCCATAATGACATCAGTCTTGGTATTCAGCACACGACTTGCTATCAGTCAAAGCCGATGTTTTTTTGCTTTTCTTAACACAAACTACGCCCAACATGCACAACTTATCTAGACGATCCACTTATGGGAGTCGTTTTTCTCCTAGCTGAAACCATTTTACGAGTTCAGGAGCACCTAGGATGCTTATGATTTTTGCATGGTGGTGTCCACCAACACATGTACTTTTTAACTGGACCCCTGTTAGATAGTACTAACCCATATTTTTATTCCCTGTTGTTCACTTCTTTCGTTTGAAGAATTACGTACGGATGTGTTAATAACCACATCTTTTATGGGACTAGATTCTCAAACGTCTAGCTCATTTCACTTCATTTGACGAGCTCTCCACTCACCCACCACTTGCGTTACGTTCCCAGGCTTTCCATCAGAGTAGAATCAGAACGGACATGATTGTTCGACGGCGCAGAGCATTTTTCTATCGTGTTACAATCGGCCTTGTGGACCAGCCTCCTGATAGGTTGCGGATCTTGGTTCTGCGCTCCGGCTTTCATTCCTCGTTGTTTTCTAGTACTGCTCTTAGTGAACTAGAACACTGAGGAAATATCGTCCTTGATTCACCGTTGTCATCGATGACTCATCGGCATGAACACTGTACTCCAACAACTTGACATTCAGCGGCTGCTAAGTATCGAGTGCACTTGTAGCTTTGGATGCGCGGATGAGTGTTGAGTTGTTCCTTTGCAAATAAACCACCCAATTCGGACAACTACCAGACACCCTCATTCAGCGATGGCATTCCCATTGGCCGTGGGTAGAAAGTGTCAGCATCATCCGGTTCCGTCCCACAGCTCCTATATTTGTGGGCTATCGCGTTAAGCACTTGCTTCGACTAGCACTCCCGCTACGCCCATCTGTTATGGGCACTCTGCTCAAATCTAAAGTATATGCTTTTCTAGTTAACTAAGCTGTCCTCTCCCCACCGGGCATTTCTTTGCCTCAATGTGCCTTATTCCTTGTTCGGTTCTGCTTCTCTCATTCTCCGTTAGCCTTTGTACACTTAATTGTTTCACTTTTGTCTACCACTGCTCACATTGTGAGCAGTTTAAACACAACATTATCGGTAGTGATTTCAATCTGCCATCGATTGCATGGTTTGCAGGAACTGCTCCTCTGAAATTTCATAATCTTATCTCTTGTATACATATGAATGGTTGGCAAAAACATGTCTCCAAACCTATCAGAGGAAACAGCATCCTTGATCTCATTTTCTCGCTGGGCATACCTGCTATTAATGTAACGGTCCTTAATGAATTCCCTGGGAGCGACCATCGGGTGGTCAAATGCTGTTTAAGATTACGCATGGCCAATGAACCACACCCACTGCACTATCGTTTATTCAACTCCGTCAACTGGAACACGTTTAAGGATATGGTTCGTTCGATGAACTGGGATGATTTCTTCCTCTCTCCATGCCCTCAAAAAGCAGCAGATGTGTTCTATGATATCATCGGTCTTTGCATTGATTCATTAGTGCCTCTAAAGTGTGCCCGTCTAAGAAAACAAAAACCCGATCGCAAAGTGTTAGGTATCACACGCAAGCTTCATAAGATCCGGCGGAAATTCAGATTAACAGCAGACTTTGCGCTAATACTGCAGCAGGCAAAAATCATCTAAAATCATTTAAATGTTCGCAATCTCATATTAGAAGAATACGAAGCTTTGAATGGCCCGAGTAAAACAACGGAACTGTCCAAACTGTTTCGTGCCAGAGGTTTGCGTCGCAGTAATTCCATCAATTTTATCATTATGCCGGATGGCACATACCTTGATGCTCCTGGTGAAATTTGTGAGGCTTTCAGCGCCTATTTCGCCGAATCAATGGTTGATGAACCGCTAGCCACACCAGCGCTTGTCACACCACACATTGCTGAAAGTTTATGCACAGTGGAATTCACTATTGCAAAAATCTCCGGTCAAGTCTCCAGCTTGTCTTCCTCGACTTACCCAGGACCTGATGGAATTCCCCCTTGTTTGTTAAAAAGCGGTGGGAGCGACTTGCCTCTTTTATTGCTCAACATTTTTACGCTCTCTTTTAACAGTGCAGTATATCCTTATCACTGGAAGACTTCCGTTGTTATCCCGCGGCATAAGAATGGAAACGTTCACGAAATTAAAAACTATCGCCCCATCAATCACACACCTGTAATATCTAGAATTATGGAAAGGATAGTGAAAGATGAATTACTTATTTTCTTGAATAAGAAAAACGTCATCAACAATTCACAACACGGTTTTTTGCAGGGCAGATCTTGTGCGACATGCCAGACAGACTTCTTAAACCACACAACGGCTGCCATAGACAAAGGCAACTGTGTTATTGTCCTGTTCTTAGACATGCAAAAAGCATTCGACTGAGTGCCGCATCGAAGACTACTCCTCAAACTGAAGGAAATAGGTATTGGAGAACCAATGTTTTCTTGGTTGTCGTCATACCTAGCTGACAGACATCAGGTGGTGCGTATTGGGGACCGTGTCTCTAAACCGAAAGCAGTCACCAGTGGAGTAATTCAGGGAAGTGTACTTGGTCCACTTCCTTTTCTCCTCTACGTCAACGATGTATTTCATAGAATAAGACATGGTGCTACTTTTCTGTTTGCTGATGACATTAAAATCGTCTACTCACAAGAACG